CTTGTTCTCATAGTTCAGAGTGGACACCACTGTAGCCACATGGTCCCTCACCTCCAGCTCCACCTCCACACTCTTCAGAGGAACTGACCGAGAAGGATACACAATGAAACAAATATTTGTTTCACTCCAGGTAATAGAGGAATTTATATGTGTTATTTCCATGGCCCTGGATATATTATTAAATATCAACATTTATGAACATCAGGTATTCTTTCTTTAAAGCTTTTTTTCTGGGTGCCATCATGATAACATCACACATTTTAATTTTAGCCCCCCAGTTTTTGGATTTGGTAGATAGTTGTTCATGTCGTAGACCATATAAATCACATGTATGAATTCTTATTTAGGATTATTTTTGAAAATGTGCCCAATGGCCTTTAAACCTAGCATAATCTTTAGAATTGTAATCTTACATGACTCCAGGTTATAGAAAAAAATACTTTTTTTTATTAGTTTTGTTGAAACAACTGTACCTGGTTCCTTTTTAGAGGTTAGCAGACCACAGCAGTTCTCCATTTTACCTGTAAAACAAAGAGCATATACATAATTACATATGAGATATTCTTCCTGCTGTAGAGATGAATGGTTATGATGTCCATCTACAAACGTCTCACCAAATACATATTATAACAGTAGTAAACAGTAACACAGACACACTGGTGATTCAAGTGAAAGAGTATATCGCTGTAAAAAAGTGAAAAAAAAACAGAATACTGGCATCAGTCAGTGTCTGAAGACTTAGATCATTTTACAGCTGTAATACTATCTGTCAGCATGTCATCCTTCTGTAGGTGACCCTTAACCAATTCCATAGGATTTAGCATGCAATCATGACACAAAGGTTATCCGATATGAACTGATGAGTATATCAAAAGGACAGATTACTTCTACAAACAGAAATTTACGAATTAAATTATTAAATCCCCCACAACTGTACACATATGTCATGCCAGATGACTTCAATGTGCGCATCTCTCTCAACAAATGTACTGTAATCCGCTATAAATAAATAATTAAGATCTCTTTTGCCTTGGGCTACTGCTCCACCCTTCCTGGTTCAGTCTGCGTCTTAAAAATGTGTATTTCAATTATTATTCTCTATACTTAGCATGCATTGTTATACAACTGTGTTATTTAGAAAAACAGCTGCATGCTTAATAATGACTACTTAATAATATAATTTAAAAAAATAGGCTTATGTCACTGAAGAGTGTTTAAGTATAAAGAAAATAGAAGCTGATGTCTGTAAAGCTCAGATGTAAATTCGAAACAACAATATCAACAGAAACACGCAGTTATTAAAACGGGGTTTCAGCGCGTTCATTGTTATATTACCTCAGACGCTACAGTAGTTTAAACGGAGATAAGAATTCCAACCTGTCAGGACCAATGTTTCGTATCCGGGGTTTACTGGAGTTGCTGCAGGTGTGGGGAGACAACTTTTAAAAAGTAAAGCTTACAAATACAAAAATGAAAGTCATGCTTTCCGGGTACGCTTGATTTCAATGCATGAGCGCTCCCGGTGGGTGGAGCTTGATGCAATATGAGAGCAGCTAACTCCTATCATTCACAAATGTCTCTGAAGTGCTACAAGAATGTATACATGCTGATAAATTGCAGATATTGTATTCTATTGTTTAATTTAAATCACAGCTTAGACAATCCTACTTCCTTGAATATCTTGTTATTGTTAATTTGTAAATTCAACATATGTATTTTCTACTTTCTTGTTTACTTCTTGCCTTTTAATTTTTATTGTACAATGCCATGTCTTTTTATGCTGCTGCAACACAAACATTTCCCAAATTAGGATCAATAAAGTTCTATCTTATCTAATCTTATCTTTAAATGGATCAGACTGCTCTTCTGTTATTCTCTTCCTCTTTGCAGAAACCCCATTTGGTGTTGGACCACTTGTTGTGGTGTCCATGAAAAATAAAGACTTCCACTGAAGTGTGAGATTCTTTTTGAGGGACAATCATGTCCTGGACCTGGAAGCATTTTAGGATTTACAAACCCGAAATGTTTTAGAAAGTTTGTTAAAAGATCACCAAGGTTACGGCCGGCAGATCTTTAAGTTGTTCAAGTTTTCTCCATTAGCAACAAATCGTCATATTCTTGATCTGATGGGAGACTCACAATTCTACATTTAAAACAAGACATAAAAGTATTACTGATTCATACTCTGTGGCCATAAATCTACGCTAAACGCTCAAGAATTGATTTTTCGTGTTTTTTGTCCAATGAGCACAAGGTTTCTCATAGTTTGTGTTGCACAAATAATAAAGCAGGTGTGGAGTTTTAATCCATTAATGATACATGTGTTAAAATGTCAAAGCTGTGATACACATTTAAAAGACAAATAGTAATCTACCAGGGAAAAATAGAAAACATGAAAGTGCAGGATTTTATTGTTGCTGGGTAGGTTAGGTAGTAAAGGTTGTAGGCAGAGGTGGGAGAAGTACTCAGCTCTAGTACTTGAGTAAAAAGTAGTGTAGGGATACTCTGTTAGAAGCAAACGTTCAAAGAGTAAAAGGTACTCATAATTCAGATTGGACTATTTCAGAATAATATATTATATGTTTTGATTATAATTATTGATGCATTAAAGTGTTATCAAAGCAGGTAACAGTTCAGCTACTTTTAATTACTTTGTATACTGCAGGGTAACTTGTGAATTTACTCCAGGTGTAACTAAAGTCTTGTGTTGATTATATTTTGCATTATCCATCCAAATCTGCCATGACAACCACTTTTGATCCAGTTTCCCCCCTTGTTATTTAGATGAGTTAATAACTACACATCTTTGTTCAGTGTGCAGTATTTTGGTCAAGATTCAGACAATATCATGTATTTATTGTGGGGGTTGTTCTATGCTTTTGTTGTTTACTTTTAAAACATTTAAATTGGAATCTTTGAATTGGATTCAGCCGTGGTCACCATGGAAACAATCAGTGCATCTATCAAACCTCACCCGAGTAAAGACGTTAACCTGCGCAAGTTATTTAAACTACTCCCTCACAACGGTAAGAAATACAACATTTCTAATGCTGTGTGACGGTCTCTGCTTTACAGGAGCAACTTCGTTTGACTTGTAGTATTTTGTTCTTTATATTGGTAACTGGTAATGATATAGATGACCTGCTTTCTCTGCGCAAGATTGGCTGACTTGAGTTGCTCGACTTAAATTGTGTTATTGTCGCTATTAATGTTTACGATATAAAGCCATAATTCATTTTGAAGCTGCATGTATTTAAGAAATGCACAAACTAAAGCACCAGATACATCTCTATTGTTAGATTTACAAGTGTCTAGCTGGATCGACTCTACCTCTCTTTAAGCTTTGTGGTAGTGATTGTTTTGTTACATTACATGTCACTTGTTGTTAGACGCTTTTATCCAAAGTGACTTACACACTCAATACTGTGGACAATCCCCACAGGAGCAATTTGGGGCGAAGTGTCTTGCCCAGGGGACACAACGACATGCTGACTGCAGTTTTGTCAAATTCAAGTTTCCAAGGTTAACATTTTGAATAACAATACATGTTTTTTTGTATTCTTGTGTTTGGCGAATAAGGTTTATGGTCATTGCTGTTATTGCATATGGCTGAACATCTGGTAGAAGATAACACAAGCTGCAGAATGAGTTCATCAGCAGAGGTAAGTTCATTTAACTTTTAGGTTGACTATTGATCAAATGAGATTACTGAAACAATGTCATTGTGCTAAAAGTTTAGCTGTCCATTTTCCATCATGATATTGGTGGGAAAAAAATAATTTTGATTTTGCATGTCCTCAATAATATTTAATTGAAAGGGTTCCTTAAACAGATGTGTCTGAATGCCAAGCCATTTCTATGTATTTTTTTGAGAAAAACTAATTCAGCCTGAATCAAATAACCAATCAGGGCGTCTTTGTGCAATAGTTGTATCAAGTTAAGGATGTTGTATTTTTTCTGCAATCCTGTGTTTATTCAGTGGTATTTAAGGCTATGAGTCAGAATGCCTTTTCAGGTTTCATTAAAAACCTTACTATATTAGTTCTGTCACATACATTTTTGACTCTAGACATTCCTATATGATTAGAAATTGTAATTTAAAATGTTTTGTCTTCTAATACACTTTCTATGTCCTTTTCTTTCTTTGCTTTATACTGTAGAAAGCGACCAGCAAAAACCCAGAGAGACCTCATGATGAACGTAAGGAGAGTATCATTGGAGAACAGCTGGAACAAGATCAGTCTACCCACACTGTAGAAAATTCACAATCAGGTGACCAGTGTAAGAAGAGTTTCAGACTATATATGGATCTGGAGGTCCACCGGAGAATCCCCACTGGAGAACATCCTTACTCCTGTGACCTCTGTGAGGAAAAGTTCAAACATTTTAGCAATTTGAAGGTCCACCAGCGTATCCACACTGGAGAAAAGCCTTACATCTGTGACCAGTGTGACAAGAGTTTCAGTAACTCAAGCAATTTGAAGGAACACCAGCATATCCACACTGGAGAAAAGCCTTATATCTGTGACCAGTGTGAGAAGAGTTTCAGTAACTCAAGCAATTTGAAGGTCCACGAGCGCATCCACACTGGAGAAAAGCCTTACATCTGTGACCAGTGTGATAAGGGTTTTAGGCAAATAAGCCATTTGAAGGTCCATCAGCGTATCCACACTGGAGAAAAGACTTACACCTGTGTCCTCTGTCAGAAAAAGTTTCAAAATGTTAGCTATTTGAAGATCCACCAGCGTTTCCACATCGGAGAGAAGCCTTACACCTGTGACCAGTGTGACAAGGGTTTTAGGCAAATAAGCCATTTGAAGGTCCACCAGCGCATCCACACTGGAGAAAAGCCTTACACCTGTGACCAGTGTGACAAGGATTTTAGGCAAATAAGCCATTTGAAGGTCCACCAGCGCATCCACACTGGAGAAAAGCCTTACACCTGTGACCAGTGTGACAAGAGATTCAGGAACTCAAGCAATTTGAAGGACCACCAGCGTATCCACATCAGAGAGAAGCCTTACACCTGTGACCAGTGTGACAAGAGATTCAGGAACTCAAGCAATTTGAAGGAACACCAGCGTATCCACATCAGAGAGAAGCCTTACACCTGTGACCAGTGTGAGAAGAGTTTCAGAGAATCAGAACACTTATTGACCAGTGTATCGCACATTGGCGTAAAAGCTTCACCAGTGCATTGAGACTTTAGAAACAGTGATGTGGACTGTTTGACACAGCTTGCTGTTAAAAGATGTTGTTTAGATTTTAAGAGTTGTCATGAAGTGTTCTCAATAAAATTCATATGCATGCACTTCAGTTGTCAAATTGTATTTTTTTCAGCAGGAAAAATGCACAAACAAACACAGCTCCCTAAAGAGCAAAAAGGTTTTCAAACAGAAAGACTCGATATCACTGTGCTACATTGCTAATTTACCAAAATGATAAAGCATAACACTGCTGAGCGTGTGTAGAGAACCTTCAGCCTCATATGATGCTAGTTATACAAGTGCTTTGAGACATAAATACAATATGTTGCTGACTGATTTATGAATGAATGATACTGATTTAAGACATCTTAGGGGTCTAGCCTTGTTCCATTGATGTTTATATTAGACATGAATTATATCATTGTTTACAAAGCGGCCCTGTAAAAAATATTTTTTTGGTTAATATTTGTATGTTGTGCCTCCACTGTGAAATGTTTACATGCTTTAATGTTCAAAAAGGTCTTTATTTTTTCTCCTACTGCCTGTACCTCAGCACCTCTTTTCACCCTCTGTCTGAAACCAGAGCCCCGTCTGCTCTGGACATTGGATTTATTCTGCATGATATTGACTAAGTGGTGCCTCTGCGGCAATTCAATTTTTGAGTTTGTTTTTAATGTATCTGTGTGTAGTTTAGCTGCTACAAATATAAATATATATCATTATTATTAAATCAATCATATTGGCCATTTTTGTGAAATATCGTTTAATTTTTATGAACACCCCCAGTGTAGTTCTGAAAATACAGGTGTAGATTTCTTTCAAAATAAATCCACTGACTGGTGGTCCTCTCTATGAAGCAAAATGTCACCAAATGCAATGATACGTGTTTTTAATATGGGACTATGACAATTCGAGAAAGTTCAACAGACTAATAGTAAAGGCTTGAGAGCTCTTCATTAAATGTGTGCAGTGTTGCCCTGGGCTGCCATAACCAAGGCCGGATTAGTACCTCCAGGGGCCCTGGCATTGAGCACTCATGGCCCCCCCCACAACCCACGTACCAACAAGTTACACCACGCCTACCCAATCCTACCAACATGACCAATATTTAGAATTGTCAGTCAATCTGGCATGTCAAATCGCACACACCGATTTGTCAAAAGCAGGGACGCAGCCACATAGTTCAACCAAAGTAGGTCTAGCCTTTTGCCCTTTCAGTCAAAAATCACAAGACAAAGATGCAATGGATAAGATCTCAAGACAGTGTATGGCTCAAGAAGACCTAGGTAATATCACTCAAAACCTCAGAGCAGCACCCCACTGCCAAAATATGACTGGCTGGCTGTACAAGTACACAAGGAGTTCTATTAGTCACAAACATTGAGAGTTACATAAGTAAAATATGTAGTGAAATTGTGTGGTTGCTCAAGGGTGGGGCTTTGATTCGGCTATACACCGCTGCCGCGTAGTAATAAAGTTGAGCGCATACATAGTGAGACCTACAGTACAGAGACGGTTTGGATCATATATTAATTTGACCCTATAGAAAAGTGGTGTTATGTATGGTGATATTTATGTTGCCCATATGGTTAATCCGGCCTTGGCCATAACTTCTACATACAGTAGTCCCTGGCATTTGCTCAGGGTTTAACAATTGACTGTATTTATAGAAATATACAGATGCGTTCAAATTCAATTTAGCTTTTGTAGATACCTTTTTTTCCCACTTTGAGGTTAAAGAGTAAAGAAAAAGAGCATAAGGTCGGGACATCACAGAAGATAGAGTAAAGATAATAGATAGATCTCACTGGTTTCTGAGATCACTACCCCTTCCTCACACTCTGTTCTAGTAGTAATCACACACATGCCTCCCTTATAAAGAAATGCTGCACCAAGCAATTGCATGTTGCCTTATATGTCCATGATTTTTAAAGGACGCAAAAATAACTCTTACTGTAGATGCAGCACTTTCCATAAAAAAATGGAATGATTTGGGTGTGTCCTGGACGTGAAGCAAGTCAAACTGAGAGGAGAAGCTGGACTGAACTAAGGATGGCCAAACAACAGGACGTAACTAAAGAACAGGCCAATTTGATACCAGCTCAACCTGGACCTCACCAAAGAAACAGATGCAGTGTCTTTTTTCAGCGATTGTCTTTTCAGTGTTACTGTTGAACTATAAACAAAATAAATACCATACAGACAGACAACTCAAATGCAAAGGGGAAATACCAAACAGCATAGTTCTGTCAAGGTGTTGACAACTCTAATGTATTTTTGTTGATTCTTGTATAACCTTTTCAGCATGTATGTTTGTGTGTGTGTGTCTGTGTGTATATGTTTAGCACTTGACTTAATTCTAGACAATTAAAATACTTGACAATAAAGGCTTATCTTATTTTACTTGTCAGGGTTGATTTGAAATGCAGGCCTGGCTGTAAATATTTTTAAGGGGCTCAAGGATCTCAGTTCCTCCCAGATTTGCGTCAATCTCTTCAACTTTGTTCAGAGCCTCTTTCATGGTCCTTTCACTGTACTCCACACTAGTAGTGCTGTCAGAAACACACACACATAGTGCAGGTCCGGTTTAGTCGCACAAACAACTTCTACACAGCAATTCAGAATTCCCATCCAGTTGTAATACCAACTTATTAAAATTACTTCCCATAAACTAAAGGCATGTATTTACTGTACAGCAGTAGTCAAGCATATACACTTCGTAGGATTTATTCATTTTAAAATGTTGAGAGTGAGCAATTAAACAATCTTTAAAAACGATCAATAGTTTTGCAGAATCATCTCATATCAATGATTTGTCTGCTGTAAGAGCCATCATGAGCCATCATGAGCCAACAATTACAGAGAAAAGATTAAGCACATTTTTGTGACTGAGTCAAATACAATATGGGAGTGACTCACGGGAAGATGTGTTTACAGCTGGACCCAAAACTGTAGATGTTGACATAAATGCCCGTTGGTAAACTCTTCATTAGGAGCAGCAGAGTATCCTGAAGACAGGAAGAGAGAATATATGAAGACTACTGGATAACTAAAATCCTAAAAGCAACAACAGAATATGAAGGCACTTGTTCAATTATTTGTACACATTTAAGAATTTTCATTTATATAGCTTTGGATGAATAGGATAATGACATTTGCAATGGAACCATACTTGCCAACCTTGAGACCACAGAAATCGGGAGCATTTCAAAATGCAAAATGGGGCGGGGGGGTGATAGCTAATGAGGTCTTTTATTTTGAAACTCTACATCAGAATGTCCTGATTTTTTTGTTTTATTCTCATCTAAACACAGAGGGATGATTTGTTTTGACTCCACCGTAATGCATAGGATATTCGCGCACCGCAATATCACGTGCGGGCGGGCTTGACTAGGTCTTCCCGAGTGGAGGCTGGCTTGACCGCAGTCAGAGAGTAAGTAGTTGTCGATTCTTGTTCTTTTTTCTGCGACTATCTGCCTCACCCTCTCAGACTTTCAGTTGCGCGCTACTAAAGAGACGTGTTACCATGGAAACCAAACAATGGTGTAGCTGTATTAAAGTCTGAGTGGAAACAGTCCTGACTAAATCTGATTTTGTCAGAAATCGGGAGAAATATGACCCCGGGAGGAAACCGGGAGAGGGCAATGAAATCGGGAGTCTCCCGCGAAAATCGGGAGGGTTGACAAGTATGAATGGAACACCGTCACTAAAGTGTACTCACCAGGCTTGGCAGAGGTCTGTCCTGCCTCCACCACAGCTGTGGGCTGGTGGGCATCTACAAAGATGCCCACCAGCCCACAGCTGTGGTGGAGGCAGGACAGACCTCTGCCAAGCCTGGTGAGTACACTTTAGTGACGGTGTTCCATTCATACTTGTCAACCNTTTCACCGAGACCGCCTACTCTGAACAACCAATCACCGTACTGACCGCTTCTAAACTCATGCACGAGAATCGACGTCATCCATAGCAACGGCGCGTCACTCTTAGTTCACTCTTAGTGATTTATCCTTAGTATGAGTAGGTCTCAGCGGCTTTGTGAATAACTTTTAAGAAAAAACTCCTACGTAAAATGTTTTAGCGCGAGTTAGGAGCACTCCTAGCGGTAAGATAAAATGCTTTGTGAATACGGCCCCTGATCTGTTAACATTAAAATCAATAAATATATGCTGTAACTATTTTTGCTCTAGGCAACTCAAGGGCTCAGGTAATGTGATTACTATGTGAATAATGGTCCAAAATAACATTAAATGCATAGGGTTTTTTGTTAAGTAACCTACTTTCGTCGCCGGCCGGCCGATACATGCCGCGCATTAAGTGGGCATGTCTGTCAATTAATCCCCGGGCCACTTTTTCCTCCCAGTCCGCCCCTGGCTGCAACTAAAGATCATTTTTATTTTCTATCAATCTGGCGATTTGTTTTCTAGATACAAATTGTCACATTTGAGGAACTGGAACAAGAGAATATGAGCATTTTTCCAGGCAAAGTGATGATAATCTGTCTGTCATGCTTCACTTTTCAACAGTTGCTTTCAGTGTTTTCCCGTCTCTGTCCATCAGGCACGTTCCAGCAAACCTGTTTTTCATGGTCATTAACATTGAACAGTGTAGAAATAGTACAATCATATTTTCTATTGTTTAAAGGGTCAAGCATGTCCACATGTTGGTGTGGTGGTGAAACCAGTCAGATTGCTGCCTGTTCTAACTTACTTTCCATTGACAAACTGACCTTTCGTCTAGTTATCTTAGCTCTAAGTCAACCTGACTGAGCTGTGTGTCTGCACTTGAGTTTGTGCTGCCAGAAAATGAATAGTGACAAAGGCTGACTGACTAATAGGAATCCAGAGCATAAATACCACAATACTGTAGTGAAGGCCATCACCTTTGTTGATTTTGATAATCAAGATATATTGCAATGAACAATGTGTGAATAACTCCAGAGTAAAAAGCACATGTCAAGGCAGATATGAAGTATTACCTTCAGCCACAGGCACGGCAGGCTCCTCTGGCTGCAGCAGGTGGAGGTAAATGGAGCGCTGGCCCATCTCAACCCAGTTGCTGTGACTGTAGAAATCCTGGTAAAGCAGAGGATTGAAACACAAAGCACTAGTTGAGGTTTTTTATTTTCAGCACACTTGGATGCTTGGATCGTCATGGGAGGGAATATTTAGCCATTGCAAAATACAAATGAGTGGCCATGTAAGCAGTTTGGAAGAATGTCAATTAAGTGTTTAAGTTGACAATCCTAGTTTTTACATTTTTATTATTTGAAGAAGTTATAATGCCCCACTATATAATAGCCATCATCACAACATCACCACTCCACATTTACTTTTTTACTTTTTTTTAAAAACTGCACAGATACAAAGCAAAGCAAAATCTCTTCAAAATGCAACCCAAAAGCAACATCCCTAATGTTCTTGATCATGTCTCCTTCCTTTATTTTTTTATGACATTTTGACTGTAAAGACAAGTGTTTTAAATCACTTTGAATGGTTATTGTAGTGTCTGTAGCTATGGTTACAAAAAAATACAACTTTTAGCACTAAAAAAATATTTTAAAGAAGTTGACTCTTAATCCGGCACATCTGGCTTAATTTGAGCTGATGTTTTGCATAATTGTGAATTTCGCAGGTACTTTCTAATTTGTCCATTAAGCTTGACATAACATGTGGTGTCATTTAGAACAATATGTCCAATATAAGCCAAGAGGTTAAAATGTGGAAGCATGCTATCAACTTTCTCTCCTCTCTTCCTCAAATCCTCCTGATGTTTCTTTACAGTGCAGCTGTGTACCTGCAGCGAGTGAAACAGCTGTCCCAAGCTGTGACGAGCACTTTGGTACTCTTTGGCCCGTACTGAGAGCAGAGTCTGAGCCCAGAACTGCCGTAACATCCCCATGGCGCTGTCCACTTGCTCCGAATCAAAGTGGTACACCGGGTCGGACCTGGTGCTGCTCAGGAAGTCCATGGCCGCATTGGACTTCACCACCTCTCCCACAGCTCTCCAGAAGCCACGGCCCAGTCTGGTCTAAAAGAAATAAAGGCTGATATTTATCATTTCGAATAAGATGCAGTTATGTGTTCAATGTCAGCTGCGGTTCACAGGTTCAACTTTAGTGTCTAATAATCAGAGGTGCGATGGTTCATCGTCAGCCCTTTCAGTTAATATGTCAAAGTGTCCTTAGGCAAGACACTTGACCCCAAACTGCTCCTGTAGGCATGTTTAAGACATTGTAGTGTATGTGAGTCACTTTGGATAAAAGCTTCTGCTAAATTGTAATGTCATATGAACACAGAAGAAAGCAATAATCAAGCATTCATTCAACGTCCCTTCATCAACCCCTTTGCGTAATAGAAATAGTAGTTATTTAATACTGTTTTATACTGAATGTAAAGTAAAAACCCTGAGATCAGCTCACCTGTTCCTCTTCATTGTTCCCCTGAGATGTTTTGGTGCTCCTCAGGGTCTCCAGGGTGACATTGAGAATAGCCTGCTCAGTGATGTACTGGTGTGTGTGTGAGTCCCATGACAACGTTAGCACTCTGGACCAAAAGTTGGGGAGGAAGCCCATGCATGGTAAGGCCAGGAGGAGAAGGTAGGCGAGAATAAACAACTGCATCTGCTTTCCACTCCCTTCCCAAATTCTTCTTCTGTCCTGTGACATCATGTCGTGGAGACGGGGTGAGTGCTTCACATCCTACCTGAATGAAAAATATGCAATATACAGTTTTGTACCCAATTTCCTGCATTAAAGGCAGATAGGCAAGTTTATAAATTGGATTTGAAAATATTAGAATTAGCCAATATCCTACAAATCGCATAAATATGACATTTTTTTAAATTTTATTTTGTGTGTTCAAACATTGAACTAAACCATCGTTAAGGAATTAGTTCTTTAATGAGTCAGGATGTAGTCATGGAAAAAGTGTTTCCGCTTGCTAAACGGGGGAATATGCATTGACCCAAAGCCTATTGTTTAGAAGTGATTTGTTCTAATTTGGTCAGTTTGTGCCAGTCATCCATGTGTCCTTTTCGGTCCTCTCCAAACTCCTTAACCCACCCTCCCCCCCCGCCACAAAACCCCACCCCTTACATTTTTCTCAGCCTTGTCTTTACAGAGGCTACTATTGTTCTTTGTCATCTTTATTCAGATACAATACTTTGGCTTTGTTCTCATGGTCTGTGCTGTAACAAGGGGTAGAGCGAAACAAAGCAGGAGGCCTATAAACAACTGCCTTACTCTGCCAACCAGCATTCAGCAGAGCAGCTTCAATTGATTGGCGTTGTCTGTTTAAATTGAGAGCACAAATAATGCTCCTTTCACTCATTCTGCAGGAGTAATACATATCTGACACCAGTACATGGATTATTCAAATGTGTAGTTTGAACATCATACAAATGTGTTACTTGTATGTGTATCACTGTACTGTGATTCACTTTAAGTTACTTCTCATCTTCCTGATAAATGATCAGGAAGTCATCAAACAAACTAAAGCAAGTTAGGTATTAACAAAAGCTTGACTTCATATCAACTTTTCTTTGTCAAAGTTCAATAAGTTCAACACCTAATACATTTTGATTTAACTTTAGGTTTGCATTTTAGCAGGCAATGACAAACTTTAGCTTATGTTGAAAATGAAAATGTTCTCACCTCACTTCATGATGGTAAACCTTTTTCTCTTTTTGAGATAATGGTGCATTAGCTGAGACGTGTACTCTCGACACATGTACGTGAATATGACAGCGTAGACTTTGCCCACAACCTGTCAGCAGAGGAAACTGAAGTAGGCTATCACAGCATTCTTGTCAGTGCAGCAAAATAAGCCAGTCTTCAAATGTGTCTTTCCTTGGGCTCTTGTCTTTTGCCAGATCCTCAGTGACACCAAAAAAAAAACAAGGTACGAATGGGAGAAGCTCTTTTTAACTGGGACAAGAGCCTGGTTTATGTGAACTGGTCTTCACTGTGTTTTCAGAATATGGGGGCACACCATGAGGCAGAAGACATCTCGTCATAGCTCCCCTACCGCCTTGTGCCCCTCCTTACCCCCCATTATTGCACGGTGCATTGAATCGCCACAATAGGGCTGCATATATTACCAGCCAGGGTGTTCAACTAAGGCCTTCCCCAACCCCCCTGCCCTCCATCTATCACTCTCTCTTTTCCTCACAAAACCAAAAAAAACAACTGCAAACACTACAACCCCTTCCTCGCTCCTTGGTTACCCACATTTCTTATGGCAATGCAAAGAGGGGCATCAGTTGCTAGCCAACGGTATAGGGAAAGGGTTGAACTTCAGTTAGTGGGGTTGAATGTTGCAAAAAATAAACAAAATAAGAGATTATTGTCTTTCCGGGCTTTAGTGCTGGTATGTTACTAATAAATAAACATTACACAAATATTCTGTTTATGATACAAAGAGGCCAAGAAGAAAGATGTACTGCTCTGACCACAATATGTTTGCAACACGTCTGCAAACCACACAAAGTCTTTCAGTTGGTTTGATTTTATCTTATGAGCAATTCCGAAAGTCAGTTAGAAGCTTGAACTCACCCAAGAGTTGATTAACAACATTTAGACAGTGTGCAAAGCATGTAACACCATTAGTGTGTGGGAACTATTCTGCTACACCTCCAGATTCACTGGAAGTCAGCTGCAGGTGCTTGTTTCCTGTTACACTTGTGGTAACATGTTGTTCTGTGTTCTACTTTCTCATGCTGGTTTTACTGTAGACACTACATCCTCATGACCCTGTTTCATCACAATAAGCACGTACACATAACCGTATTTCTCCCAGCCAGAGGTGGCGTTTCTGACAGAAATCTCAAGTCTACCGTTTCATCTGATTTCTCTTCTTGATGAACTTTTCTATTAATTCCCAAAAATGTCCTTAAGTATACCTTCATTTTCACTTTTCATGATGCAATGAAATGCCTCTCAGACTACACATGCAAGTAAAAGTGCAAAAGTATTGGATCAAAATATACTTAAACTACTAAAAGTATTCATAAAGTACATTGGCCCATTTCAGAAAAATATATGATTTGATTATAATTATTGTTTAATTAACGTGTTCATCACAGCTAGTAAAGGTACAGCTAGTTATAATGACTTTGTATGCTGCAGGGTAGTTTGTGAATTTACTCCAGTTGTTACTAAAGTGTTAAGAGTTTATTATATTTCACAATATTCATCCAAATCTGCAAAGTAACTAAAGATACTAAAAAATCTATTTCAGTAAAAGGACACAAATTACCTATGAAGTGAAAGTAACTGTCTATACAGTACTAAGTTAATTTACAACACTGCTTAGAGTATTGTTACACTGCAAGAAAAATATCAGTCCTTCATCCACAGCTGTTGATATGCCTTTGATGCTAACTGTGTTTAATCATTTTTACTTGTGTAAGAATGAGGTTTTAGTCTGTACTGCCTCTGATATTCATAACGTGTCTCCGGTTGCTTACAGGTAGTGAAGGTGTCCGGGTGACCTCTGTTCCCGCCTCTCTGGTGCCCTACAGTCTGTCTTTCTCTGCCTGAGTGTCCTCTCCTCGTCATTTCTCTAAAGTAGAGTCCAACTGTCCCCTGGACCCTCTGGAGTATCTGAACACAGAGCAGAGCCAGGCCACGGTGGGTAGAGTGCTGAAGTCGGCTGTGTGCTTCTTTATCACAACTATAAACAAGTATCTCTTGATATATTATATGTGTTTGTTTGTTTTGTGAACTGCAAGTAAGCTGGCTGCAGGACACAAGTTTGACAGAGATGTTGAACTTCTGATTTATTACAAAGATGCCCACCAGCCCACAGCTGTGGTGGAGGCAGGACAGACCTCTGCCAAGCCTGGTGAGTGCACTTTAGTGAAGGTGTTCCATTGTCATCCGCCTCTATCTAAAGGAAAATGGCTCGATATGCTCTTGTGTCTTTTCCATTATACCTCAGTATAATGACAATAGAGATTATTCAACATTTTGATTTTGAGTTTCGAGTGGTGGTGGTCATTAATTGTGTCTCTCCTGTGTTTCAGGCACTCTGATGGGGGATCCAGTGGTGATGCTGAGTCTGTACCCTGAGTTCCCCCAGGCTGTGATGTCTTCACTCGCCTCATGTGGAGAGTTTGTGTTCTTATTGGATCGATCTGGCAGCATGCAGAGGACGTTATTTAAGAGTGCCAGGTTGCATTTCTTTTATTTGTATGGTTATAATCAGTCCTTTAGAAATAGTGGCGTTACTCATCTTTCTCCCTCTCTTCAGATATCTCTGCTGCTCTGTTGAAGAGTCTACCAATGGGCTGCTTTTTTAACATCTACAGTTTTGGGGTTCCAGTCATGAAACATCTTCCCGTAAGTCGACTCACTATTGCCCAACACATTCTTCCTGGTCTTTGGGTTAATGCTTGTGCATGAATATGCGCATTGGTTGCAGTAAGAGTGTTGTGAGTACCAGCAGGAGACCATGGGGAAGAGGGCTCTGAAGAAAGTTGGAGGATGGAAGCAAATCTGGGAGGAATGGATCTGAGGGCCCCCCAAAGACCGTTTACAGCCATGCCTGCATTCCCAATCCACACCTAGACAAGTAATACACACCACCACCACTCACGATTAAACCGGTTGTGACATATTTCTCCACACATTCCAGCCACGCCTTGTAGTTCTTATGCCAATTATCCGTTTTAAACCATGTGTGTTGCTAAAACAGCAAAACTCAACAAAAAATCATCCTACAGGCTTTTCAGAGAATTAAGTGTGATGACTCACACTATGCTGCACATTTTGGGTGTGATGCTATATTTCTTAATGCTATGTAAACTTTCCTCCTTAGCTATTTGTCTTCACTGCGGAGAAGTGGGGAACCCAAAGAAGTTATCAATCTGGTGAGAGAATTCAGGTTCCACAGTGAACGCATCNGAGAGCAAAATTAGGGACTACATCTACATCTCTCAACACCCATATGAAACAGAACTGTAAACAGATTTACTTTTTCTTTCAACATTTATTTGAACAGCAAGTGGAGGCAAAAGTGACTGCACCCAAAACAATAAACCTGCTAGCTAACTAGCCTAAACTCAGTAACAGAATGTGGGCAACACGTTCTTCTCCACAGCCGCGCGATCTCTGAGTCAGACGTCACTTCCCCCTTTTCTATCCTACGGGTACAGCCACTCCCCCTGAACCCCGTTTCCCTGTGTTTGTTAAATTCGGCATCATGTAAGTTGCGCTGACAGGTCCACACACTGCTTCCCCGCAGCAAGTTTCCCCCGCCCTCCTGCTGATAGTTGACGAACGTCAAGCTCCTCAGCCCCCCCGTTGATAATTCGATCGTTGGCACGCTGATAACAATTTTTTGTTTAAATGGCACTTCATATCAGAAAGGTTGCCGACCCCTGCTGTATACTGTATACACAAACTATACAAAAACGCCTTTACGCTTTGGAGCTTGTTTATTCATCTGTAAGCAACTGCCAGCTAGGTCTCTCAGTCACTCACTCCTGATCGTTCACTGCGCAGTGACAGCTGCTACGGGCCTGATGTGTGAAAGTGAAACTATCTGATAGATAGAACATAGGTAGCCTATCAAAACGGCCCAGCCCAGCCCAGTGGAGTAACAGGGGGTGCGGGCAGGTGGTGGACCTCACCACCTGACCTCACCACCTGACCTCACCCCCTGTACTAGCCGGTAGGATTTAGCAAAAAAGCAGCCTACATTTTGAGTTATATCCCACATTGATGGTCATCATGACTATATACAGTTGTATGGACACATAACATGTAATATAATATGATTTATGTCATGCTATTAAAATAAATTCAGTGATGAATACATTAAAAATCAATTTCATCCTATGTAATCATTTAAATGTAGGAAGTTACTTTACTTTTAATAATTGTTCAGACTAGTGAGAGCTGGCTGATGCAAACTGTGCCCAACAATGAACATGACTAACCCTTCTTCCTCTCTGCCTACAGAAGACACTCCTACCTGTATGGAGTGCTTCAGCGCCACCTGTCGAGACAACCTCCAGCCAGGACTGACAAACACACAGCGAGAAACCCAGCTGCTCACCACCGGCTACTTCAGCACTTTCCCTCCAAAACCTTACGGTACATCAGAGAATTTTTTTATTAGTGCAGTCCAAAAAAGCAAAAGATGTATAACAACAACAACCAAATGCTTTCTTTTACTTTCCTTCTTAACCTCACTTGACAAAGCTTTGACTATTTATTTCAGGCAAATGCAGTCATGGAGGTATTCTGGACAGTAGCCGCTATATGGGGGCCAAAGGGGGCATCAACAAGGACAGCACCTCCCCTGTCTTCTCCCCTCACCACTATCTCCATATGGAGGCTGCTAATTTGGCTATGGAGGCCACCCTGAGTGTACTGAGAGACCTCGGTGACACTGTGGGCCCTGAAACGTTCCTCAGGTAGGCTTTGAAAACTGTTTATGGGTAGTTCTTGTATTTCCCATAGTGAAAACACAATAGGGTCCCCTTATTTGGTTAGTATAGTATTCAACTTTGGATTGTTGTCTTACAAACCTCCTTTCCAGGCTCTTCAGTGTGAAGCAGATCCCTGCGTTGGTCTTTGTCATGGACACCACAGGCAGCATGTTTGAGGAGATCACTGCCGCTCGCTTCAGGGCTCACTCCATCATCGAGAGCAGAGCCAGCAACCCTGGGCTGCCTGGCACCTATGTACTGGTGCCTTTCCACGACCCAGGTGAGAACAAACTGCTCATGTTTAACAATTATAATTCAAAAGCTACTGTGATACTTACACCTGAATAAAGAGGAAATTCAAACATGCTTTTAATGACCTTCTTAGAACCACAAAGGAATGTAAATCACTGCTTTACCACAATCTAATAAGATAAAAACACCTTGCCACCAAATGAGTTCACCAAGAATTTTTTTTATTCTCCACTCCAATATCTACAAGCTTTGTCCACCTCAAAATAAGTCCTCCTTAAAGAGGTCAAATTATACATCACAAAATGTCCAGAAAACCTCAAATGGGAGTTTAGGTTATTTCTTCAAAATGCAAACAGCAATCAGGAAAAGCAATGCGTTGCAAAAAAACCCCCAAAAGAATCAAACCACTGGATGTGGTGAATAGTATTCCGGTCTTGGCTTGATTTCCTCCTCTGTTCAATGATAATGGTCCTTAAGTCACACTGATTTCCTTGTTCACTTTAAATAGATAATATCAACTATTAAAAAGAGCTGAATAATTTCCCCCCTCTCAATTGGAGGCTGCACGGCTCCTCCATTACTCCTCCATGTGTCTCCACACAAACATTTCCTCTCTCTCCAGCCCAAACTGTTCTCTTCCCTTGTCCCCCCAGGCCACGCCCCCACATCTCACCTTCGTGGCAGTTACACAGGATTATGTGGAAAGAGAGAATACATCTTTAAATTTCCTCTAAAGTTATCTTTATATTACCTTTTATTTAAAACCCTTCTTTTGAGTTGCCATCATGTTATGAAATATAAAAGATAATTACATTGTTTATCATTATTCTCGTCGTCACTGAAATATTGTAATGAGTATGGAGTGGTTATTGTGGGGATCTATAGTATGGCTAATTAGGATTATTGCATCATTATGAGCATTTCAGCAGGCCATATTGCAATTTGGATTACATTGAAATTATTTTTGCAACTCTACTTTGTACTAAGGGAAACGGATAGTGACTATAGCTATTTATTTACCATATAAACAGCTGTGTCAATCGAGAGTTAGTGAATGAATGTTTTAACTTTAAATGGGATGTTGTAAGGCCCTCCAAACTTTGGTCTTGCTAAATAAGTTCAATACGATGGAAGGTCTGCTGTTGCTGCTTGCTATCTAACACGTCTATCTCCTGCGCTCTGCAGAGGTTGGACCCGTGTTTGAGACCGATGATCCAAACCAGTTCATCCAGCAGATGGATAACCTGATGGCGCTGGGAGGAGGAGACGAGCCAGAAATGTGTCTCTCTGCCATTCGGGTACATTTAAATGCTGTTTCTTCTGTAACAGTGTTCAGGTGTTTGAACACATTATACAGTATTACAATTGAAATCATGTGTAGCTGCTAATTTTCCTTCATTGTGTGTTTTTTTAGCTGGCCCTCACTCACAGTCCTCCACTGTCAGAGATCTTTGTATTCACTGATGCCTCCCCTAAAGATGCCCACCTGTTTGACGCTGTGAAGGCTCTGGCACTTGAGAAACAGAGCAAGGTAAGATTTTATATTTTAAAGCATTCTTATATAAAAAACACGTCATTATCTCCGGTGTTGCACAAATGCATTTGGAACTTATGAGAAAATGCTCTGATCTGAAAAGCCTACATCTAAATAAAATGCATTATAATGTTACAGCTCACAAAAAATGTAATGCTTCTGATGACATTACCAATTAATTAATTATTAATTAATGACAGGGCCACTCAATCATAAAGAAGTTATCTATGTTTGCAGATACTTACTTAGTTAAGTAAGTGTATAAGGATTATGTAAATTGCATTTTAGGATCTTTTTGTTCCTGTAACAAACTTTATAAGTACACCCTGTATTGTGTACAGAAATGGAGACATTGTATCATGTTATTTGCAGCTCAAACATTGGTCACATTTGGGGCTGATTTTTCCACAGGTGACGTTTCTTCTTACTGAAGACCCCAAATATACAACAGAGAGCAGAGGCAGGAGGAAGAGGAGGAGGAGGAGGAGGAGGAAGAGGGAACCTTTGTCTCCTGACCGTTTCTCTCTTTACTCCACCCTGTCCTCCCTGTCAGGAGGTCTGACGATATTCACCACCAACTCTGACATCCGCTGGGTCTCGGCCATAGTGGAGGATAACACAGCCACTGAGAAGGTGCAGCAGCCAGACCCTGAGCTGGGGATCAACCTCTACACTGTTTAACCAAATCAAATGATTTTTAAAGGCAAAGAAGGCAGAAGTGATTGCCCACGTTTTTGGATTTTGATCCCTTGTCTCAAGTCCTTATCACTGATTGCTTACATATACTGATCGTGACCAGCAATGTTTTCTATTTTATTTCAAAAATATTGAAGACGTTAGAGGCAAAATAAACTGTCAAACAAACCACAAAGCCACTGAGACAAGCTAAGAGAAAGTCTGAACAAATATTGATTGTTATGGTCTCAGTAACTGAGCTATCATTCAGCTGTGAATATCTTCAACCACATTTAGGAAATAGTATGTGAAAAACAAACATCTTTAAACACGCATTACATCTCTTCACTTTTTTGCCACTTAGAGGTAGTGGAAACAAGCTGTACGTTTTCACATTAGCACATTATAAAGTTGCCTATTATTTACATATGCAATAACATTATAATTAATTTAAATGTATGTGTCCTTACATGTGAAGAATGTAAGCTCTCTTACTGGTTTCAAGCCCTTTCTGGAAAACAAATATTACACTCCTGAGCACATTTTTCTTCCTCCTCCCCAGGTGACCCTCCTCCATGTGGAAAACGACCAAGATTTGATGTCCTCCCATTCCTTCAGAGTTGACAGCTCAGTAAAAAACGTCACACTGCACATCACTGGCATCCTGACAGAGTGCATCCTGACCAGTCCGTCAGGTATCTGTGCAGAAAAGATATTAGTTCTATAAGCTGTTGGTGGAAGCTCAATCCAGCCGTGAAATACACTTTAACTTCCTCATAGAAATCTTAAAATACCACTACTTCTTGATAATAAAATAATCCCAGATGTTCATCTTCCTCTCCAATGTTAGACCAAAGGCAGTCTCTGCTGAGCGGGGACGGCCCCCTGGCAGCTTTAGACCACTTTGAGGGTCTGTACCGCATCAGCCTGCTCTCTCCCACACAGCCAGGCCAGTGGAAGCTCCAAGCCAAGAGCGACGGACACCTCACCTTCAATGTGATAGGTAAAGGAAATGTTGGACACATAAGATATGAACTAACTGCACTTGAACTGATAAAAGACACAAATATTTGCCTCTTGATCTGCACCAGGTGAAAGCAGTGTGGATTTCCTGTATTACTTTGCCACGGTAACCAATGAGACACACCCAGGGTTAGAAAGAGTGGAGGGAAGTCCAGTAGCAGGTGAGAGATTGGGATTTTTGTCTTGTAAATTTAGAAACTGTATCAATGACAGTCTCACAACGAGGAACGTGCTGACATTTAGCAAAACCGCATTGTGATTTTGATTTTTCCCAGGTGTTCCTGCCTTTCTGGTGCTGGCTGTGACGGGCCTGGCTCCGGATGAGGAAGCGTCTTTCAGTCATGTGACGCTGCTGGGAGCTGACGGGGAGAGCCTTCAGCAGGTGAAGCTGAACGCCTCCTCCTCTTCCTCCTCATCATCCTACTCTGTGGAGGAGTTGGTGGGATGGGTGGACTCGGTTCCCACAGCTCCTTTCTGTGTGAGACTAACGGGCCGAGACAGCAGAGGGAACAAGCTGGAGAGAGTTTCCACAGAGAGGGTTCAGCCCACTCACGTTCAGATACAGGTAATGATAAACAAAACATTTACTGTGATGTAGGACACAATTTAAAAAACATTATTGGTAATAGCTTCAGCTTTGTGTCACAGTTCATAACTTTTTCATTCAAAACAGCACAAATATCTTTATCTAAATGTTTCCTATGTTGGAAGGTGACAAATGTCCATAGTGACGAACCTGTAGAGACATTTTCTTTTAAGCTTTAGAGAGCATTTTAGTGCCTTTTTATTTTATGTCCTGTAACTTTACTGTTTTGGTTCATTCATTTCCAGAACAGGCTACAGGCTGCTGTTTTCAACAAAAAAGTTGTGTTAAACCAAGCACTAAACAGCAGACAGAAAAGTTAGCAAAATGTAGACATTGTGGAGCATTTAGCCGGTAAATAACCAGATTTTTTCCTCACGAGAAGCGAATACTTATGTAAGCACTCTCCCTGCCATAGTATTGTGTGTCAGTGTTGTGTTTACAGCTTGATCTGACCGAAGTTTACATAACTCAATTATTGTAGCATGAGTAGAGATAGATACAAATGAAACACCGACCAATTGATTTTCAACGGAAGTCAGAATATCTCACTATTCAAAATGTGAAATGATGGCTTATCCTTAACCAACTTTTCATTCAACTCTGTGTTGGTGGGTTTTCGGATTCATTACATTTCACATTGATGTACCTTAATTCCACTGGCTCTTGTTCTGATCATATTTCATTGTTATGTGTCTCCATTTCTCCAGGTGTTGTCTGTCCCCCGCCTGATACCCGGTAACAGCACGATGGTGGACTTTGACATCCTGAACCGTGGCCCGGCCCGACTCTTCAGTCTGACTGCTGATGACGACTGTAAATATCTACATAAGAGAGGACCTCACAGGTAGAGCAAAAATAAAAGAAACGTAAATCTCCTCGCCAAGATTGGACTCTCATATTGCCATTTCATTTCTTATTGGTCATCACTGCTATCATAAAAATAGATCATGGAAAAGAGAATGGCAAAAATAACGTTTTATACATTTTTGAGGACTGTTATAGTTAATTAGAATTTCTGTCCCTCAGCTTCCATGTTGCAGAACAAGGGTCCTTCCGCGGTCAGGTGGCCCTCCACACCCCTGCTACGGCTCAGGCAGGAGCTACCGTCACCCTCACACTCACCGTGCGCGCTCTGGACTCCTTAGAATCAAATTACGCAGTGGCCTATTTGACTGTGATCCCTCCGGTGAGCATCAACAAAAAAATAATGTCACATCCTTTGATTGGAGCTTTATGATTTTATCCAGAAGTCTCCTGTATTTTTTTATACACACATATTCCATTATCTTAAACTATGTACATTCGATTGTCTCTGTATTGCTGTTTTATATTAGGTTTATTTGCACAATTTAAAATCACAAAAATATAACAAAGATAAGAAATGATGTGTAGAGGGAAAGCAAGGGACAGGACACCCACTGGACCATTTGAAGCCTCCAACTAAAATAAAAAATCAACACAAAACTATACAGACAATAATATGACTTAAGGGTTAAAGGTGTTTCAATGGTTTTGCACAATTTAATAATACACACACATAACAGATAACAAATAACAACAGTGCAGTAAGAGGCAAAACATTTATTTAAAGCTTCTCCCTAAAAAATTATTTAAATCAGAATTGTATATTCATGATATGTATTGCTACTACTGGATCAAGACATTATAAAAAACAAATCACTTCCTTATTTCTCCCTGTAGGATCCGGACACGACCCCTCCCTCCTGCTCCGCGGCACGAGTACAGTCCACCTGTCCCGCCACCTGCACTGAGTCCAGCTGGAGTGTTTCTCTGGTGGTCTCAGACAGGGGGCGCTCCGGCCTGGCCGCCCTCCAGCTGCAGAAGGGTGAAGGCGTTCTGACTTTATTCCACAGCCCCCCACCCACAGAGGAAAGCCTGGAGGAGACCCAGCATCCGGCACACAAGGATACAACAACCATTGAAGGCCATCATCACCACCATCACCACCACAAAGCCAGATTACAGAGAGGAGACCCCCCTCTGAATGTTACTGATTGGGTACCGGGTTTGTCTCAGCCTCTGTGGGCAAGGTACTCGTCCAGCTGCTGCTCCCCTAAAGCTGAGCTGCTGGTGTGGGACACAGCTGGAAACATGAAGCGCTGCCGCCTAACATCAGGCCAGCAGACACAGCTGAGAGACAGGAGAACAGAGAGCAGCGGAGCCAGAAGGATTACACTCACCAGCGTCTCCGTCCTGGTGGGGGGTCTGCTGGGGTCTTCTCTGCTCTAGGTCCATGGGATTACAGATGTTTTGCAGGTCAAACCAATCTGCGTGCTGATCATTGGAAAAGAGATAATAGAGAGACAATAAGGACAGAGGTAAAACTGAACAAAACTAATTTAGAATTGAAATAAATGCACTTGATACAAAAAACTGTCCTTTTCGATGATAATGTGATTGCTACTGTAATTTGTGAAGAAGTTGCACTGAATAAAGAATAAATCATTTTATATTTACTGTCACAAACTTGAATTATTTGCGATTACAATATCTGATATCATGCAATATACAATGCTCAATAAGTAAATAATTACTTTTTCAGGAAGGAAATTGTACAATTCTGATGGAAATAATAAATAAAAATAGGTTTAAAGCAACGTTGCAAATGTTCATAAATAGAAAAAATTAAATACTTTAAAGTGTGACTGTAGGGGTCTGTTACACACATCCATATTAATGTGTCTTAACATTACTGTCACTGATTTTTTTACCCATTTCTTTTGTCTAAATTATTATTATTCTATACATATCCTCATACATTTATATTCAATGTAATGGTATGTTTTTAACTGCTGCTTCATTTCGGACCGCAAAGATGATATAAGATGCTTTGGAGTATTTTATTAGGCTACTTTAACTTGACCGAGGCAACATCATTAATTGAGTCTGATACTTGTGATTTTTTGAGACACAACATTTACAGAAGTCTTGACAAAGGGTTTAAATTGCTAACAGTAGCTGCTTATACTAAGGGATGTTGTTCTTACACAGACCTAATGTACAATCCATAAAAAAGTCAACAGATCTGAAAACCGAGGATTGGAGTTGTGCAACTTGAATTTCAATGAGACATTCATCACACATATAGTCAGGTTCATTATAACTTGATTTTAACTTTCGTGGCATTTTTGTGGGGATTTGCTAAACTATACATTTTGGAAAGGGTATTGTATAAGGATTCAGAAAATCCATGCTTCCATTTGCCCAGATGTCTATATGGCGGCCATATTGGAATTTCCGAAATGGCCGCCTTAAAATGTAGGTTTTGTAATATCTTGGCTTCTAAATAAGCTGGAACATTGATTTTAACTTCCAAACCTACATTTTCAGGGTCAAGGAATCCAATGGTGGTAGTTACAAAGGTACTACATTTTACAACATTAACCCTTCGATGCATGAGTCGGTCGAAAATGACCTGTGCAAAGTTGGTTGGGCCTGCTGAAAAGCTGGAAACTGAAAAGAGGACCAGAGTTGTTGACCGAGCCACACTGACGGTGAGCCAGAATATCATGTATGGGTTCAAATCCAGTGCACAGGTAAAGTACAAGTCAAGCAGTGAATCAGCATCATTTAGGTCACCCCATGCTCGACAGAACCCATAGGTTTTGGGACTGTAACTGACTATCCACCATGACACACGCAACAAGAAGCTGATGAATCTGCTCAATGCTCATGGCTACTCTGTTTCACATGGTCGTGCCCTTCTCATGGAAACTGCTCTGGCCATTGCTGTTGTAGAAAACACCAGAGCGCACCAAGGCCTCTATGTACCACCATTCCTGAGGAAGGGGACCTTTGTGTTTTTTGCAGCAGATAACACAGACTTTGCCGAGGACACTCGTGATGGGAAAGGAACCACCCACGGGACGATCACTGCAGTGTACCAGAAGATTGATCCTTCTAAATAACCTGTTGCAGAGCCTCTCATCATAGATGATGCACAGAGTCTATCAGTCACTCCCTACCATGTAGACATACTTCACTGAGAC